GTTCCCAGCAATCACATGGTGGCTCACAACCATCTGTAATGGGATCTGATGCCCTCTTCTGGCATGCAGGTGTACACTCATATATAAAATATAAATATATAAAATTAAAAAAAGAACAAAACAGATCTCTGTGTAGGCTGTAGGAAACTGGCCTCTGGTCCCAGTCTGTGTCCTGTTCTTTGAAGACAGGTGGATCTGAGGTGAGCTAGAGTTGGCCCCCTGGCTTTGCATATTGCTTAACCTCACGTCACCATGGGAACAGTCAAACCTACTCCTAAGAGTTATTCCAAGAGATAATAATAAATGCAAATGAGTGGAAATGAAAAGCTCTCAGCACACGGTGCCATGAGTGCTTGATTAAAAAGTCTGTTTCTCTCATCTGACTTTTACAAGCACGCAGTGTCTTCCCGACTTTGCTCCAAGCCAGGCTCCATTTCTAGGCACCTGTGTGGCTCTTCCCTCCCACAGCTTATCCTGGTCCCAGAGAGTAGGCAAAGGACAAAGAGGAACCAGCTCCTCCAAGAGTCGTGTTCTCCATCGAGGCCACTATGTTCTGTAGTCCAAAGAAGGCAGTCAACCTTCAGGTCCGGTAGTAGTTTCCCACTGCCGATAGGAAAGGTCTGGAGCGAGAGGAGAGAGGAACTCTGAAGTCACACAAGCCAAATGCTAAATAACTAGCCAACAATCTGTACGCTTTGTAAAGCTTCTGAATAACAAGTGGCCCGTTCGTGCAGAGACTGTCCCTTAAGATGATTCATGGCAATCGGAAGGGCGTAAAGTCCTCCAGGTACTGGCAAAGAATTTATCCCAAGTGGTTAGAACACTAACAAGCGAGTAGGAACATTCTGGAGCTGCCCAACATCTGGAATGCTACAATCTCTGCCCAGCCAGCGCCGGCCAGAAGGGACTGTCATCTGAGCTGAGTTCGAAATTCTTATCTCTAAGACCCACGCGCTCCGTAGCGAACTAAACTTCAGAGGTTCGCTCCCTGTGGCCGCCAGCCCCGCAGTGTCCAACCCGGGGAACCGCGCGTCCCACCGGCTCACCTGCAAGTCGCTCACTAGTTGCTGCATTGGGCTCAGGTACATGTAGGGCACGCCGCTGCCTGCGCCCGGGGGACCGTCACTGAAGGAGATGACGTCCGCGAAGGACCTACCGCGCACCGCCTCCAGCGTGGAGATAGTGGCCAGCGCGCCCCAGTCCGAGACGTGCGTCACGAAGCGGGCCACGCGCGGCGCGTCTTCTCGGGGTGGCAGCGGAGGCAGTCGCCAGCCCATGTCCCAGTCCCCGTGGTCCAGGCCCCCGCGACCCCGGGCCGGAGACACCAGTAATGCCACTAGCGCTGGCGCCAGAAGGGCGGCGAGCAGGGAGCGCGCAGGACGGAGAGCACTGCCAGCCATGGCGGAGTCTGCAGAGTCCCTGCCCTACGACCTGACTCTGCGGGGTAACTAGTGCCCTCCAAGGTCCCGCCCCTCCGAGAAGGCCAATCAGAGATGAGCAGGCCTAAGGGGCGTGGCCCCTTGCAGCCGGATCCACAGACACAAACGCTCGATTCGCTCCGTTTCGTGTTCATCTCCTTAAAGATTGCGAGTTTGCACCAGAGTCTTTTTTTTTCTTTTACAGACAGATAAGCCAGGTTTAGAAGAAATTAAATAACTTGGCTAAATCACGCAAAAGGCGAACTTCTTCTCGCACGCACCACCTTTTCTAATGTCTTTTAGTATGCGTGCCTGGCAACTGAGAGAAAAAGAGTTTTCTATGTATGCTCTTGTCTGTTTAATCCACTATTTTTGTTGTTTTGGGCTTTTGTTTTATTTTTCGAGACAGAGTTTCGTTGTGTAGCCCTGGCAGTTCTTGGAACTCATGCTGTAGACCAGGCTGGCCTCGAACTCACAGAAATCCACTTGTCTATGCACTCCAAGTGCTGGGTTAAACGCCTGCGCCCCCCCTCCCCCCCCCCCTCCAGGCCTGTTTACTCACTGTTAGCAAACAAACTTCCTTGTGGTAAAAGGCAGAAGAACGGAACTGGAGGAACTTACAGACTGCTGGCCCACGAGTGTCCTCAGATGTTACTGATTTTCAGTAACCCACTCAACACTTTGGTCATGCCTGTTTGAGATCTGTTAAGTCATCTAGCTTAGTTAAGTGCGTGGCTTCATGCATTCTTTGTCCTGGCTGTTATAATTTAAAACGAAGTGCACCAGAGAAAGACGACACCCAACAGAGCTCACATGGAGGGTTTATTTGTTTATTTATTTATAATTGGAGGAAAGGAAGTGGGAAAAGGGGAAGGGGAGAGACCAGCCTCTGGGGACAGGAGCAGCAGAAGAGAAGAGAGGCAGAGAGAGACGCAGAGAGAGAGAGAGAAGAGGGAAAAGACAGTAAGTGGGCAAAGCCCACCTTTTATAAGGGAACAAAGCAAATGTGCACAGGAGGTGCTCTTAGTGGGTGCAGCTAAGGACGTATCCTGTCAGGACCCTAAGGGCAGGCCAGTACAGATGCCTGAATACTAACACTGACAGGTCCTGCAAGCCGTTCTGGTCTCCATTCCACTACCCCGGGGAGTTAGAAAACATGTGTATACAACCTGGCCCACATCCTTCATCATTTTAAACTTTGGCCACTGTTAGAACATAGAACCTTTAAGCCTCACCCCATAAGCTAAATCAAGCCACGACTCTCCACAGCTCTCCCTAGGTGGGAGTTAGGAAGCAGTCTGTGCAGGGACTTGACAGTTTTTCTTAGCTTACGGTGCCTGGCTCCTTACCACATAGACCACACTGAACTAAATCGTGAGATGGAAACGTCCTGCCACCTCTAGAAGGCTGTAAAAATCAGGCTTCCCCTTTATTCTTCTTAGCTTATGGTGCCTGGCTCCTTATCAGCAATCAGAAGCTCCCTTTTGGCTGCCCTAACTAACTCAATCAAAACAAACTAACTCATCCTAACTCGGGGGGGGTTTCCCCTCTTCCCTTTATAAACTTCCATTTGCCTATGGGCCTTGTCTGTCTCCTCCCTATCCAGACACAGTCCTTTGTATCCCACCCTCCCCTTCCTTCAATCCACACCCCCCCCAACAAATACCCCTTCCCCTTATTGTCTGTTCTTCCCTTCCCCTTCTCCTTTGTCCTCTATCTCCCGTGTTTGTCTATCATTCCCTGCCCTTTGTCCCTCTGGGGCAAATAAATCTCCTTTGTGCTAAGAACTTGGTCTTGGTGTGTCCTGTGCCAAGTCTGGCCCTTTCAGTGTGTACTTCACACAGTGGTACCAGTGTGAGGATTTGCCTGTGTTAATCTGGTGATACCATGCCTTCCAAGGCTTCATTGCTTGACTGCAGTGGTTTCCTTCAGAGCTGTGAGCAACAGGTGTGTGAGCCAAATCTCACCTCCCCTTCCTTTCTGAAGGCCAGCCTCCCTACCTTCCGCCAACTTCTGAGGCTATTCAGCAGAACGTGACCCTGCACTCTGAACAAGAGCCCACAGTTCCCTCTGGTAACCAATCTCTGTCACACTGATTTCTACACTTAGCTAAGAGTAGTGTCAACAATGCTCGGTCCAAGATGACTTGCTTTTCAGCCAGAGTTTAGGAGAACCTCAAACTAAGTGGAAAACTAAGCAGGAGCCATTTCAAGAGAAGAAAGTGAGGAACCCACCTAAAAAAAAAATCCATAAATAGTGTGAGTGCTTATCTATTAGAAACAGCTCATCCTCAGTGTGTTAAGGAAAAGGTTCACAGAGCCGAACTTGGAGTTCCAACCAACCTACCACTAGCAAGTCAAGTGTCCATGGCTCTTTGACTTTACTTTTAGATCTCAGTTGTTCTTGTTCAAAATTTGGAGCTGAAAGATAGTCATGGTAGTGCCTGCCTTTGATCCATCACTATATAGACTTTGTCTCTCCTGCTTCTGGCCCAAAAGAGAAAAAAAAATTGGATTAGCTGCTGCTTTAGACTCTTCCTTCACCTTTATCCCCTATTTTCCATTTAGTGGTGAAATATGAGACTTTTTAAAGTTTCGGATACAGATTGTTTTACAAGAGGATAAACCACTTTTCATTTATTGATATACCTCTTACTGTTATGGTAAAATGCTGCAGGTCCCCAAGTGGCAGTAGTGGGCAGCGGGCCATGGAGGCGGCTGGTCCCAGGCAACTCCGGAGCTGTGCAGCGGGTGAGAGACAGAGACCTATTAAGCACGCCATGCAGATAAAGTGGGTATTTATTTATTTATTTAGTTGGTTATGGGAGGGAAAGGGATAGGGGAGAAGGGAAAAGAGCAGAGAGAGAGAAAAAGAGAGAGAGAAACTGAGGGGGTGGGGAAGGGGAGAAGTGGGGAAGAAGGAGAGAGGCAGAACTTTCCTCTTTAGGAGAGAGATGGAAAGGAAGAAGCTCAGGCTGGAAGCAGAAGAAAGGAAGATCCACTTGCCTTGGTGGAATGAGGGTGGGTGGGTGGGTTGGGGCTTGTCTCTTAAAGGGACAGGACAGACCATTACATTTACTGCTGGCACACAAAATAGCAAGAGTTTTCTATTACAGTTCCATTACAAAACAAGTGCTTAGAGCTTGCTCTCACATGTCACACTGGGAAAAGAAGGTCTACAAACCCTCCAGGAGTTAGGTATGTCTCCGTAGTTTTTATCCTTATACTTGCTGTTCCGGTGCTCCAAACACATGTCATTCTGTACTGCCTGTTTCCCATGTACACCTCAGTGAATCAGAAGTCACTTTACAAGAGTGCCCTTGAGCCCAGCTTCTTTTTAAAAATTTTATTATTTCCTGTGAATGAATGAGTGTGCATGTATACACACACACACGCATGCACACACATACATATATACATGCTGGTGCCCTCAGGGTAGAAAAGAGCCTCGGAGGTCCTAGAACTGGAGTTACAGACAGTTCTAAGCCATTTGGATGATGGGAAACAAACCTTGGTCCTCTGCAAGAGCAGCCAGTGCTCTCGACTACTGAGCCATCTCCCCAGTCCTAAAAACCTAGCTTCTAGTCCCTGGCAATGGGCAAAGAGACACCTTGGTCTTATATCAGCCAGGGACAGAGCAGATGGAGTCCTTTGTTCATCCTAGCTTGGTGCCTATCTTGGTGGCCAAAGCTGTTTCATGCCTAGGGCACATAAGAAAAAAAAAAAAAAAAATATATATATATATATATATATATATATATATATATATATATAAACCTAGCTTCTTAACTCATGTGGTGATCATGAAAAATTTGATAATAGTAAAATCAATTGAAAATTAAGCTCATAATGAATCTGAGGCCTTTTTAGTAGTGCGTATCTGTGTTGCCTCAAGACTTCGCCATAATCTTGATCTGAAGCACACAACATGCACACTTCATGCTCAACACATGAGTCATCTTAGCGTGAAATGCCCACAGACACTGCCTGAAGCACCTTGGCTCCAGCTGCAGATTGATGCTTGCTAAAATTGCAAGGTTTTTACTGGATGTGCAAAGTTGTTTCCCCTTTATAGAAACAGAAAAAATTTGTTTGATTATGGAAAACAAAGTCTTCTTATCATTGTTCCTTATCATGTTAATATCAAATTAGTGTAACTTTAGATTGTTTTGTGTCGTAATGTTTGACCTTAAAAAGCTGCTACTTGAGTTGCTTGAGTATCATTTTAAAATGGTCAGTGAACTTGGGTTTGGGATTAGGGTGAAATTTCTAACAGTTTCAAGAAGTGGCAGAGACATACTTCTGTCATTGTATGACAATGTATATGAGAAGGTGTTCTCAGCATTTGTTGCTTTAGAAAAGAGGGTTTTCTTCTTCTTTTGTTTCCACAAAGGATGAGAACCTGTGGAATCCTCCCAGACTAATGTGGTTTGATGTACCAGGACCCCCTCAAAAGTCTCTATGAACACCCTCCAAAATACTTCATCTAACAAAAAGCAAGAAACAGTTTGGAGAGAACTACAATCATATTCCCAAATATTGTTTTTTATTATTTATTTATTTATTATATATACAATATTCTGTCTGTGTGTATGCCTGCAGGCCAGTAGAGGGCACCAGACCCCATTACAGATGGTTGTGAGCCACCATGTGGTTGCTGGGAGTTGAACTCAGGACCTTTGGAAGAGCAGGCAATGCTCTTAACCTCTAAGCCATCTCTCCAACCCCCCCCCCAAATATTGTTTATAAATGTTTGTTTACATTTAAAGGGGGATATGCTAGAGAGATTTGCATTGGTATGACTCTTGGTGGGGAAAACTAAACTGAATGCTGGGAGAAAGAAGGCAGAGTCAGAGAGAAGCCATGTAGCCCTGCTGCCAGAGACAGATGCCAGAACTTTACCCAGTAAGCCACAGCCTCTTGTCAATACACAGATTGATGAAGATGGGTTGAATTAATATGTAAGAGTTAGCCAATAAGAAGCTAGAGCTAATGGGCCAAGCAGTGATTTAATTAATACAGTTTCGGGCTGGAGAGATGGCTCAGTGGTTAAGAGCATTGTCTGCTCTTCCAAAGGTCCTGAGTTCAATTCCCGGCAACCACATGGTGGCTCACAACTCACCTGTAATGAGGTCTGGTGCCCTCTTCTGGCCTGCAGACATACACACAGACAGAATATTGTATACATAATAAATAAATAAATATTTAAAAAAAAAAATTAATACAGTTTCTGTGTGGTTACTTCTGGAGTCTGGGTGGCCAGAAACAAACAAGCAGCCTCCTATAACAAGCATTGTCAACGATAAAGTAAAAATGTTAATCAGCTCTGAAAAATGTCTAATATACTCTACCTGCAGTATCAAATATTCACCCACTTTTGAGACAGGACTGGATTCAAAATCACTGTGTATCAGAGAATGGCCTTGAACTTCTGACCTCAACCCACCCCACCCCCCGTTTCACTGGTATTGTGCTGGGTGCTTGGATGGCAAGGCATGTGAACACAAGCACACATACACATGAACTGATACTTTATCATTTATTGGCAGTAAAATTTTTATTTATATGCCTATCTTATATAACTATATAAAACCATTTTATGTAACTATATATACCTGAGGCCATGTAAAAATTTCTCAGGTGAAAAGAGACTGTGAGTAGAAAGTTTAAGAAGCCCTACCTTGGGCCAGGCATGGTGGCAAATGTCTTCACGTCTACCACTGGGGAAGCAAAGGCAAGAGATTCTTTGTGAGTTCATGGCCAGCCAGGGCTATATAGCAAGATATGTCCAAACGTATAGTAAGTAAATAAATGAAAGCCCCACCCTACACTGCTCCCTCTGAGAGGATTTCCCCCAATTGCCCTGCACCAGACAAACACTTTCTTTCCCAACTATCGCCACACCCTGTAATAGCTGCATTTATTTAGTGACTGACTTCATTGTCCATTGCTAGAGTGAGCGTATCTAGAAGGCAGGAATGTTGTCTATCTTGTCCACCTTCATATCTCCCAAGCAGATGGGATCTCAGTAAATATTTGTCAAATGATTATTTGACTTAATAAATGGCAGCTGGTGAAATTCTTTGCATAAAATCAGCAATGAGGTGTGAGTGTAATAACTTCATAACAGGTGAGTGTTTTAGCTCTTAATCAGCAAATCCTCCTCATTGGGCTATTGGGGAAACTACCAGTCAACAGTGGTTTAACAATCATTTTGGATTCTTCTGCTTCTTCTTCTCACTTAGTTTTTTTATTTGATCAGTGGACTGATCCCCATCCCCAAAGGCCCACCGTGAAACAGTCATCTTCCCTTTGTGACTGGTCTTTGCCCTGATGAAAAACCCACCCTGCAAGCCCTCTCTTTCTCACGGTATTTGCATTATGTATTTGTCTGTGTTGCCACCAAGCATGGCTCCTTCTAGATCAGGAGCAGTGCCTCTGTCATCTCCATGTCCCAGCACACGGATTGTGTGTGATCTTCATCCAAGTAGTAGTATCAAGGTATGAGGGTTTTCAGCCTTCAAATGCTAGGGACATTTGGTTCTGAAAGAGCAGATAAGTTCTGTTTTTTGATGTACATGGTTCAAACCACAGCGGTGGAAAGAACTAGGGTGGAGATCTGCCATTTAAGCATGACCTTAGATGGGATGATACTGAGCCTCAGTTTCATGCTCATCGAAAAGGAACCAAGTAAAGGAGGTGATCCAGAGCTTGCCAGCATGCCCTGTGCCTTGGAACAGAACCTAGAGACCCCACATGGTGGGGAGCACAGAGCAGTATGTGCTTGCCCTGAGGACAGAGGGCAGAAAGTACCAATGGATAATCTACAGCCCAAGTCTGCCTGAGCATCTGTCCTAGACCCCCAGCCGGGAGCGCTTTCCTCCACATAAATTCCATCAGAGTCAGGGACTCCACTGCCTGATGTGGGATTCCCCTCTGTAGGCTGTGAATACCATTGGTGAATAAATAAACTGCCTTGGCATGTTGATAGGGCAGGGTAGAGCTAGGAGGGGAAAACTAAACTGAATGCTGGGAGAAAGGAGGAAGAGTCAAAGAGAAGCCATGGAGCTGCTGTCAGAGACACACACGCTGGAACCTTCCCAGTAGGTCACGATCCTCATGGTAAAATACTAAAAATGGGTTAAGTCTAGATGTAAGAACTAGCTAGCAATACACTTCAGTGATTGACCAAGAAGTGATGTAAATAATATAGTTTCTGTGTGATTATTCTTGGAGTCTGGGCATCCGGAAAAACAAACAAGCTGCTCCCTACTACAGCTGCCCAACCCACCTTTCTCATGCAAGCCCTGCACCAGGGTTCCAGGCTTGGCCCATCTCTTCTTATAAACCAGGCATGGTGGCTCATACCTATAATCCCAGTGCTAAGACAGGTGGATTGCTGCGAGTTTGAGACCAGCCCAGGCTACATAATGAGTTCCAGCCTGGAGTACACGATGAACCCTCGGCCCCCTCAATATGGGCCTCACAAGAAGAGACAAAATGAAAACTGTTTTGTCTTTTTTTTTAAAAAAAAAAATGTGTGCCAGGCGGTGGTGGCGCACGCCTTTAATCCCAGCACTCGGGAGGCAGAGGCAGGCGGATCTCTGTGAGTTCGAGACCAGCCTGGTCTACAAGAGCTTGTTCCAGGACAGGCTCCAAAACCACAGAGAAACCTTGTCTCGAAAAACCAAAAAAAAAAAAAATGTGTGTAGATACTTTGTCTAAATGTGTCTGCACACCACGTGTGTGCCTGGTACCTTTGGAGGCCAGAAGAGGCCATCAGATCCCATAGAGCTGGAGTTACAGAAGGTAATAGGCCTCCATGTTGGTGTTGAGAAGGGAACCACAGTCTTCTGGAACTCATTTCATAGTCACTAGGATGAGGATAGCTGGGAGGATTAAAGGGGAAAAAAATGTAGGTCTGTCTAGCCTGAAGGGAAGACTGGTGGAATGTTGAAGAACAATTTGTACTTTAATTGTTACGTATTTATTTCAGGAGAAAACTCTAGTCTGAGTATCAACCAGTTGTTATTGCTTAAAGCAAGCTGTTAAACAATTTGTTTGGAAACCGGCTTGTGCATACTTAAGATTTATTCATTTTGTTGTTCGATATCTTTTAGCGCAAAAGAAAAAAAAGCAATAAGATATTGAACTAAAAATATTTAAACTAGCCTTCAGAAGAGTAGCATTTTCAGCATTTTAACATCTCAATATTATTATTTAACATGAAAAGAAAGCTCTCTGTTAGTCAGGATAAAATGATGACATCAGTTTGCCCTACTCAAGGCTGGTCTGTCTCCTCATCCGCACAGTCAACATGCAAATGAAGAGTTTAAATAAAAAATATCTGTTCACTTTGCCTGCCTCATGCTAAATTCCACAGCATATGCATTTGGGTGTTAAATCTATGTAAGGGTGGAGGTTATAACTCAGTGGTAGAACATTTCCCCAGTGTTTGTGAGGTTCTGTGTTCCATCCCTGTAACTACAAGAAAAAGAAGGAAAAGAAGGGGCTGAAGAGATGGCTCAGGGGTTAAGAGCACTGACTGCTCTTCCAGAGGTCCTGAGTTCAATTCCCAGCAACCACATCGTGGCTCACAGCCATCTATGGTGATATCTGGTGCCCTCTTCTGGCAAGCATACATGGAAGGAATGTTGTATACATAATAAATAAATAAATCTTTTTTAAAAAAAAGGAAAAGAAAACAGCAGCAA